ATTCTGGCGTTCGCACGTTTGATCGATCCAATTTCAAGTCACGCAAGGTGACGTCAGAATAAAAAAAAATAACAAAATCCTGATAAACAGAACTTTTCCACATATATATATATATATATATATATATATATATATAGGTCACAATTCATACCTACTTTAGTTAAATTAACTTCGACTAAGTTCGTCTCCTGAAACTAATTAATCCATCAGTGTATGGTCACACAATTGTTTTTAGAGTAGGGGTGTTTGCCTAAATTTAAAATACGCCGGAAGGTAGAATAGGAAAAAAAAAGTTTAAAGAATCTTTATGTAACAATGGGTTAATTCGAAATTCTTAAATAAAATAAAATAAACTGCTCGTAGAGTGTTTTGAAAAAGAAAAATAGAAAAGAAAACAATCTGCTCAATCTGTTCCCTTCAAGGAATATACGTGATGGAAATGCTAAAGAATTTATCTGTCATTTTTAAGTAAGTTAAAAGGTCTTAAAAACCAATATACGCAAATTGGTGTCTGTTATTTAATGTATTAAATTGTTTGAGAAATAATTTCACGTTTCTGGAAAGGGAATAAAATTTAAATGCAACGACGATATTAAATTGCAATTTCCACAATAACACTATTTAATTAGCAATTTAATTAGTAATTTAAAAAAATCACCCATTACAAAAAAAAAGAAAAGAAAAGAATATAAACGATTGTCTTTACCTATGTTTCATGACTCAAGTACTATAATACTTATATTAACAATATAAATCCTTTTGGTGAGTTTTATGTTAAGATCTCTTAGAGTCGGTAAAATAAACACAGCAAATCAGCGAATAAAGAGATCATAGTTGAATTTCGATGAACGGTGGACCCTAACAATTTTTAAACGTTTCGTGAGGGAGGAAGTTCAGGATCCCCGATTGAATGGTCGAAAGTACTAAGACCCACTTCTTCTCTCAATTCAACTAGGGACAGTTTATTCACAGATTTCCACCTACAAAAAGACGTTCGGCTTGAAACCAAGAACAGTGGATCAAAAAGACGTAACCGCCACTCATCGTCTGTTACATTCAATGACATATATATATATATATATATATATATATATATATATATATATATATATAAAGTTGTAAATTAAAATATAATAATGCTTTTTTTAATGAAAGTATTTATTTATTTATATTTGATATTTCAGATTAACCTCAATCTTTCTTCAGAAATAACTCTAAAGAAAGATTGAGGTCAATCTGAAATATCAAATATATATATAAATATATTCTTTCAAAAAATATTTTGTTTTTAAATTTGTTTTCTTTTTCTATATATACATATTAAGAAAGTATACGTGGCTTCTATATATATATATATATATATATATATATATATATATATATATATATATATATATATATATATATAAACGAGAGAGAGAGAGAGAGAGATTAGGTAGTTGAAGGCCAGTCAAGATATATGGGGGCCACAAAGTGATATAATTCAAAGTCTGGTAAGGCAAATCTAATCAAGTAATATTCATGAAATATATATTTTTTAATAAATGAATATTGTTTCAATTGTGGTCAGATATGAAGTAATGGATTTAGCCGTTTTCTTTTGATATTTCAATATTTTTGTCGTCGTGTATGTTGACCTTGGAAAGTAATAATTCTTTCAGGAAAGGTCAGATTGGAAAAAACAAAAACGGGTCTTAGATTAATATTTTGATAAAATTCGATAGTGACATTCTTGAGAATTTTCCTTCTGAGTAAATTACTTTCTCTCTTGATAAGTGAACATTTCTTACATCAAAATGATGGTCGAATTTATCTCTATGTATGACTAGTGCATTTGATAAGATGCTATATATAAGGTCCCTTTTGTGTTCATAGATATGTTTATTTTTTTAAATTTCTGCATGATTCATTTATTAAAAACAAAAAAAAACAATATTTCTTGATTATTACTCGCTTACATTTGCCTTATATATTTTTTTGAATTATGGCAGTTTGTGTCCTCCATATATATATATATATATATATATATATATATATATATATATATATGCAATGAGAAGGAAAATAATGTATAAATTCTAACGTTCACAGCATTAATTAGAAAGGTGGCTCGATACTGATAGTAAAGCAATAATTATTTATTATAATTTTTTCATATAGACAAAAAACAGTTTACTCACTAAAAGATGCAACTACGTTTCAGTGCATTTGAATTGCACTTCCACTAGGGAGAACCTAAATGGGTATCTTGTTATATCGTTTTATTTCTCACCAGTCGAAGTATAAATGCACTGAAAACGTATTGCATTAATTAAATGAGTAAACTGTTTTTGTATGTATGAAAATATATAAATATATATATATATATATATATATATATGAAGAAAAATATACGGAAAAAACAGACAAAAATCCTAATATGCAATTATGCTGTTTTAATGTTAATATAATGTCAACGTCGGACGTTTCGGTCTAATAGACCATCTTCAGGACATATTCATAAAACATATTTTTCTAGCAAGATTAATGCTCGACAAACGTACATAAAAGTTTTAGATCAAAATAAAATTCTTTTCGTTTTTCATTCAAAATACTCAAATTTTAGGAATACGTTTTCACAACATCGCCCATGTGACAACGACGTGATCATATTTAAACGGAACGCTGATCTTATAAAAGATTTCAGTTATCTGTTTGGATTGGTCTTGCTTTTATGTCCATCGTCTTTTTCATGTTGAATTGAATATGGTCTATGTTAACTATGTTTTATAAATATGTCCTGAAGATGGTCTATTAGACCGAAACGTCCGACGTTGACATTATATTAACATTAAAACAGCATAATTGCATATTAGGATATTTGTTTGTTTTTTCTGTATATTTTTCTTCATACTGTCGGATCTATATCCATATATTTGCTTAAGTGTCAACAGATAATGAAAAGGGGCAGTATCAACCAGCAAACGCAGGAGGACCAAGCCACAAATCGTCGAGTATAGCGTCAAGCAACAATCATGGCGGCTCAAAACATATTCAAATAAGAACGATGTCGTAATATTGAACGTAAAGCGGAGAAGACAGAAAGCTCGCCAGCTACGACTTGGGTAGACTCCACCGATCAGGTGCAACTTGTGTGGACAAATGCTCCGTGCAACCATCGATCATGCCAGCCACCAAAGTCAATGTCACGGGAATTGAAAAAAGAAAATTTATTGCACTGGAATAAAACACTCGGAAAAGAGGAACAATCGTGTATATATATATATATATATATATATATATATATATATATATATATATATATATATATAAATATATGTGACATGTATCATTCAAAAATTAGACATTATTTATTATAGGATCCTCTCTTATTTACGGACGAATTTTTTTAGTATCCTTATTAAAGGAAGAAAAAAAATTACCATGTTGATCCATATCCATTTTATTTCCAAACTTTCGACATTGTCGACCACAATGTCATCTTCAAATTTCGTTTTTCTAAAGCAAAATTGCACTATTCATCTGAGAATTATTTTTTTTTTTTTTTTTTTAATCGTGAAGTGAAAAATGCTGGATCTTGTTTTCAATTCACAAGTAAAAAAGTTAATTTTCATATTAACACAGCAATTTGCCTTAGCAAGAACAAAACCCCGAAGATGACATTATGCTAATGTCGAAAGGACGCGGGAATAAAATGGATATACATCAACATGGTAATTTCATTTTTTCCCCTAAAAAGGATAGTAAGAATCTCGTCCGTAAATATGAGAGGATCCTATTAAGAATAAATGGACAAAACTTGTCTAAATTATTTAATGAGACATGCTTGAATGAAAATATGCTCACGTTTAAATATGCACTTAAATATATATATATATATATATATATATATATATATATATATATATATATATATATATATAGTTAAATCCCAATGATCACCCTATATATATATATATAGGAATCAGTATCGAACATATGGATTGTACCAGACAGCCGCATAAATACCTACATGAAATTTTAAGGAACGGATGAAATGCACTAATGTATGATTCTGTTTTTTCTTCATATATATATATATATATATATATATATATATATATATATATATATATATATATTCTGAAAGTATTTTTTATCTGGGATTATTTCTGATTACTATAAAATCGTTATTTTCTTTAGTGAGTACACGTGTTTGTTTTGCTATCTCTGTTTTTAAATTTCATTTAACCACCGGCCTATATTGAGAAAGTCTTAATAAAATAATTAATCCACCGTAAACACTTGTATCCACTAAAAAACAAATATCAATATATATATATATATATATATATATATATATATATATATATATATATATATATATATATATAGAAAAGAAAAGAACAGATGGAAAGAAAAATCCAAAATTCTGAGCGTATACTTTTCAAAACGTGCTCGATACAAGCGTAGAGCAAAATATATTATTAAAATATTTTTATTATAACAGATTTTCAATAAAAATATTTTCACAGGTTTTTATTGTAATCTATTATAATAAAAATATTTTAAGAATATATATATATATATATGTGTGTGTGTCTGTGTGTGTGTGTGTGTGTGTGTGTGTGTGTGTATTAAGCATTATTTTCAATCTGAAGTGTAACCGAATGTTTAAATCATATAAACAATATAGCCCGTGGGGTAGAGTGTAGGGGTTAGAGGAATGAGTTGAGGGTTATTAAATCCCAATTTCCTTAAATATTCCTTTTTCTTGTTTTGAAGTTTTTTCTTTCATTATTTTTTTCGTTTTCTTTTCATTCTTCGTGGTCAATCTCAATGGCTTCACTTCCATCAACGTTGTTATCGATATTATCATTCGTGCTATTGTCAATATTATCAGATTCGCTGTGACTGCAATTGTCCGTACTGTTGTTATCGCTGTTTAAAATGCTTGATGCAGAAAGGCTGATACCGCTTTGTGGTTGATCTAAAATCCTGACCAAATCCCGAATTATGAGTCAGACTTCTTGATAGTGAGGATTGTGGGTAGTCGCTCCGGTCGAAGCGTAAATCTCGTTCGGCAAGGAAAGGCGTCGTTTGTGACCGGAACAGGAAGCGCCGGAAGCGGTTACACCGACCCCACCCACAGCCCCGCGGTTATTTACGTAGATATTCTGGGGTACGAGTTTTACTGTTAGCTCTTTCTCTTCGGGGAGACGGACAATCTTGTTGTCAATTTCTTCGTAAATGACTTCGCCATCACTGTAGCTGTAGTCGGCATCATCGGAAATATGGCCAAGATGGGGGAAATGAGTGCTGCTACAAAGGCCAAAAGACGAACTGCCGTTACGTATGCTGTCACACCGGAGTTTGCTGAAGACAACTGATTTTTCAGTAACACGAGGAATTCCTGGCCGGTTACTCTTCCGTGAACGCCTGAAAATGAAAAGAAAAAAGTTTTTTAGTTGCTTCAAAGCGGATGAACTACCATTAGATTAAAGAGATTATGCGAACATTGTTCGAAAACAATTATTCGAAAAACATTTATTCGAATTGTAAATTATTTGAATGAAAATTAATCGAACAGACAATTATATGAAACTAGCTTAAAAAGCCGCTATAGATGGGTGGAGTAGACAACATTAAACTACAAAACTATATATATATATATATATATATATATATATATATATATATATATATATATAAATAAAAATATATTTTCTCAAAACCTTCGAATTTTTTGATTTGCCAATAATCAAATCAATCACGAAGGAAAAAAAGGTTTTAGAAAAAGAAAGAGCTAGAGACATGAAAGTCTGTCGAGAAAAATCGCACAGATACAAGTTCAAAGCCCAAAGAAAAAAAAAACCCCGATACGAGTAAACAACTAACTAACAAAAGAGCTCAATACAACCGTAGAGCAGACCTAGATACACCTAGTGAGCCAGACAAACCTACCCAGGTTTCACCTAAGCGGATCGTCAGGGAAAGCTGGCTAAAGAGGCAAAAGAGAAACGGCATATTTATAGGCGACAATCAAAACTATACCACGTGACCAAAGAAAAAATGCATAGAAAAACACGACAAGAAAAAACATCACAACACCGGGTTGTGGGGGGGGGTAATGATTTCTTCAAACGACTAAAAGGGAGGGGATAATTTAAAAAACACGAACAATCAAAGTGGAATGACAATACAATCAATATATATATATATCAATCAATCAATCAATATATATATATATATATATATATATATATATATATATATATAAAACTAAAAATGAAAGTCGACTTATCGGGCGACATTTAAGCTAGCTCCTAGTGAAAGTTCTTGATTGAGCCTTCATCACAAACGTAAATGGAGGAGTAGATGTGATGGGCAACAATAAACTACAGAAGAATTCAAAATTGATCGCTGCATTTAAGTATTGCATTAATCTTTAAGCTAACCTTTTAAAAAGTTCAACGATAATTCTGTCGCCACTTAATTTAAAGACAATTTAATGTATGTAGGTCCTTACTTTTCGTACAAACAATTGTTTTTATCTCATGGGTGACTTTCTCTGGATTTCACAATTTTGATTATTTCCAAATTTATTTCCAAGTTATAAAAATTGTTATCGTACAAAAGAATTGTTCGGGCGAATGACAAGAGGTTTCTTAGTTTCACCAGCTCAGACCTTTACAGCAAGAGCACTCTCTTCTATATTCACTTTGGCAAACTATTCCAATCGTGTTCCTTTGTTAAAAAAAGTCCCACTCTACCCCAGGCCTGTGTTTGTTGTGTGTTTGTTAAGACGATAGGATGCTGTTTATGTGTATATTTGGAGAAGATAACGGTTAAGAGTCGACATGAAGAGGTGAAGATTGTAGTGGTCGGAAATAGCGCCCTCCTGAGATTCTGTTCCACAAAGCAACATTTCTTGGGAAGAAACTATCCTTACTAAAAGAATACGAAAGCAATGGTGGTGGACTGATTCAATGTCCGCGGTGTGGCGTGTTTTAGCCATTATGCGAACATTGTTCGAAAATAATTGTTTGAAAACTATTATTCGAAAAAGATTTATTCGAATTGTAAATTATTTGAATGAAAAAAATAATCGAAAGGACAATTATACTAAATTAGCATAAAAAGCCGCCCAAGGTATCGTCATTTTACAGTTTAAAATGGCCAGATGTTAATCATAAGTTCTATGCTAACAGCTTCTTCTATCACATTTCTCATTTATGGAACTCTCTTTCGGCTTCTTGTTTCCAAGTCAGCTTTAATCTTCAAAAATTTAAAGTGCAATGTCAATCGTTATCTTTTGTCTTCTTAATTGTTATTATTTTATTTTTCTTTCTCTTTAATGGTATTTTCTCTTACGACGCCAAAAAGGCTAAACAGTCACCAAAAAACAAAGAACTCATATTTAGACATGATCCGACGTTTGAGGTGGACATGTTTATGGAAACATTATTCGAAAATAATTGTCCGAAAAACATTTATTTGAATTGTAAATTATTTGAATGAAAAATGAATCGAAAGGACAATTATATTAAGCCAGCTTAAAAGCCGCCCTAGAGGGAGGAGGAGATGTGATTGGCACCAATAAACTACAGAAGAACTCAAAATTGATCGCTGCATTTAATTTTTACATTTTTATTCCAATAAAGAATTTTGCATTTCGAATAATTATCATTTCAATTATTTCGAACAATATTCGCATAATCGGGTAATCCAATGTTTCCTAAAGTTAATATAGTGCCGTATCTCAATAGTGGGGGGTGACTCAAAGTACGTGGGGTGGCGAATTTGAGCGATTATGTGAAGATTACTCGAATTAATAGTTCAAAAACAATGATTCGAAAAACTTTTATTCGAATTGTAATTTGAATGAAAATTATCTGTCTATATTTCTGAGATGAGGTATTATATACACTATTTACATTATTCGGACTATTGTCCTCATCTTTGTCGCCATATTTATTACAACGTTTCGGCCGTTATACACTCTGGCCTTCTTCAGTATCTGTCTATATTTCTGAGATGAGGTATTATGTACACTATTTACATTATTCGGACTATTGTCCTCATCTTTGTCGCCATATTTATTACAACGTTTCAGTTTGTGTAGGACACATGGCACAGTGGAGAAAGGCGTTAGTTAGATCCAGTGACAGGACCCAAAGAGTGTGAGTTCAATACCCGGTTAAGGCAGTGGAGAACTTTTCCTTAATTAACAGGAGATAACTGATAACTGACATCCATTAAACATGGCACGTAGAACTAGAACAGTCTACCCCAGTGAGCGAAATAAAGGGTTCAGTTCGACATTCCAACCACCTGAATAAGGCCGGAGCGTACAACGGCCGAAACGTTGTAATAAATACGGCGACAAAGATGAGGACAATAGTCCGAATAATATAAATGAAAATTAATCGAAATGATAATTATTCGAAATACAAAATGCTTTATTGCTATAAAAATGCAAAAATTAAAAGTGGAAATAAGTAAATGATAATTATTCGAATTTTAAATATCTTTAATAAAACAATTTAGTAAGAAAAAAATCCATATAACCTTCAGTTATGTAAGCAAATATATGGATATAGATCCGACAGTATGAAGAAAAATACAGAAAAAAACAAACAAAAAACTCAATATGCAATTATGCTGTATTAATGTTAATATAAAGTCGACGTCGGACGTTTCGGTCTATTTAAGACCATCTTCATGTTTAAATGAAAAGGTCCTGAAGATGGTCTTAAATAGACCGAAACGTCCGACGTCGACTTTATATTAACATTAATACAGCATAATTGCATATTGAGATTTTTGTTTGTTTTTTCTGTATTTTTCTTCAAACTTCAGTTATATAATACTGCACTCAAATAGTCAACTACTGAAGAGTACTAGTTAAAGGATGCCATTTTTAAGTTTGCCATTTACGAAACGCTATTTCTTGGCGCTCTTCATATTTTGGCAACCTACTCTTACTTTTGCAATATGGATTTCTTGCAAGTCCTTTTCTCTTTTAAGAGCGTCTAAGAATTTCCATATTGTGGGATGATGGGAGGACACTTACTGCAAGAAACCCTATCCCATCCTTCAAGGGCGTTATTAGTTCTAAGTAAATCAACATTGACTATCTCAAAGCAGAACCACATACGTATCTGAAGCATAGGCATTTCGAATAATTATCGTTTTGCATAATTGTCTTTACGATTAATTTTCAATCAAATAATTTACAATTTGAATAATTTTTTCAAACAAATATTTTCGAACAATTTTATCGATACAAATTAAAAATACGGTATTCATTTGCTACTTTAGTGAATAAACTTTCGTGTGGATGTAAAATATTAAATTTTTTTGTTATATTTTGATCATTTGTGAAATGTTGATCGCTATGTGCACGAGTTGCACAAACTTCCGACAAATGGCAAGTCAACCTAAAAAAGTGTGTTGTGTATATAT